GATAACTTTCAGCGAGATCGCATGCAGAACTTAACACACTGTAACGAATTCATCAACAGAGATATTAGACACAAATTTTATGACTGCATGCATGCTGAGATGCACGTTTTCATCAACGAAATATTCACAAACCTATTGTCAGCTATTATCACCTCATCTGAAAATTCCAATAAACAATTACTTACCTGAACATACCATACTGTTTCAATCAATTGCGTTAAGAGAATATGGAACTTTAGTAGATTCACTAGCTTATGAATGAGCACAACTTTCCAGAAAACTACCACCATTTTCTTGGAATTTTGGAAGTGACGAAGAAGCTTTTGTTCATGAACTGTTCCCTGTGGATAGCATTCGAACATGCAACAGAACAGAACAACCCTAATTTGATAAGAACTATTATTCGATATGGTTACTGCTTTGAGTTGGTATTATTGCCCACAAAACGCTGAGCACTCTCAACGTATCAATTATGCAATAACATCACGAGTCAATTCAAAAATCTTATCAATCGCAACATAAAATCTGATTATGAATAGTAACGATATAAAAATTTTGAATAAGGCGACACCGAGCAGCGATCCAATAAAACATTATCGCAATTTCATATAAATTAACGACGTCACAATACCAAACCACAACTATTCCAATAATATATTGAAATGGAACAGAGACAAATCCACAGAAAATAACTTCTTCAAATATTCACATTAAATTAAAGAATTTACATGCATAAAGCTGGAAAACAGCAGGAAAAATAATGACAGAATCACCTAATCGTAAATGGTACTGAAGTATTATAAGTGAGAAAAATGATGAAATAATGCTACTTACACCGGACAATATTCTCCTCATTAACTGCCCACTGAACACTAAACCATTCACTTTTTTATTAATTTTGGTCGATTCTATCGCTTTTTGATAGCCTATCATCAAATATATTTATTATATGTTAGAGCCGCAAAAAAGCACATTAAAAATCACACAAGTAACCATTAAAACAAATTGTAAATTTGTAGGAATCACACAAATTGAAATGCTTAAAAAACGCTTAAGTTGTTCAATTGGAAATGAGTTTGAGAATATCATCTAGAATGTCAACAATTCTGAAACAACACTATTATATATTAACTCAAACATAATCGAACACCACAAATTCAGTTCATTAGAAATCGTTGCAAACAATTTGATTTATTTTACACTGATCCATCAATTGCAATCAGAAGAAACAAAACAAATCTGGAATAGAAATAGTGATGGTGTTCTGAATGAACATTACAAAATGAACAGTAAATCAAATTAGATGAACATTAAATCAAAAATTATCAAAGCCGTAATACAGTGAAAGAACTATGGCTCAGATGTCCGCTTCATTTGATTCATCAATACAATGGATAGTATTCATCTAAAACGAATCGATCAATCTTTCAAAATTTCGAATTCATCATTACATACTATTGTTATTACTGGTGCTAATAATGCCGTCGTTATTGCTCTAGAGTATAACTGCTTTAGAATAAAGCAACTGATTTATGTTACTGTCTAATCGCAGTTTTTACTTTTTTCAGTCAATGATAAACTAAATGAAAATAACATCAGTTTGGAGTCAACGAACAAACCAACGAGTTTCAGTTTTTTACACTCAAAAATTCATTTTCAGAAGTCATTCTTTCGCTGGGAAAGAACTCAGAATGAAACACTGAAATTTCAGCGTTTGGTGGAAACTGAAACTTCGATACACTTTCATAACAGTTATACCACACCCTTACCCTTCTTCGAAACCAACACAAATGAAAAATTCACAAATAATACGAATGAACATAAGGAATCGTCTTCTTTTGCTCAACGACGATTTCTGTTTAAATTTGGCAAACAAATTCGACAATTCATAAAACGTAAACAGTAACATTAACGCAATGACACCATTAATGTCAAAAATAACAATACACAATAAAAGCAATAAGAATAATAACAATGATGACCAAAAACGATGAACATATCAACAAACAAAAACTTAAATAAAGGTCAACTTTACAAATGCTTCAGGCGCTTACGGGGTGGTTGACTCATAATGATTGGTGGTGTCTGTTGAGTGGCCAAAGCACGAAAAACTTCAGCTAACAATGGCGGATGCTCTTTCACGAGACAATTCCATCCGTCAGATTCCATTATTTCATTTGCGTGAACATTCTGCAATTACATTTCATTACCCACAAAATTCTCGTCGTATCACTTGATTTACATAAAAACCATAGTAATAAATGTTAACAAAATAAATGAACCAAATCTTCACTCAAGTAATTTGCATGAATATAAGATAAGGTATAAAACTAACGATATAATCAATGGCTTGTTGCTTCAGTTGTTCAGCGCTATGTAAATCGGCTAAAATTAGCGTTTCACACGCATTATCGTTCGTTAAATTCAAACATAACGCTTGTTCACACATCACCTTAAATAATAATAATACCATCACATCGATGGAATGAATTCATTTTCGATTAATTTAATTCAGTCCGATAACGGAACTGCATTAGATTGATTGAAATTCCAACACACTTAAAGAGGATATGATAAATGTCGACGATCAAATTCGATGAGTAGCACCTCTCCACTCGTATTATTAACAGCAATCAAGCCGAATATAACTTCAAAAAGCACACGAAAGAACGCCAAAACACCCACCTTTAACCTATCCAACTGGTATTTATCGGCAGCTGCGAGAAGTGTATCGGCCATACGATCAAGATTGGGCGCTTGGTCGGTATACATGAACCTTAGCATCTCTTTCATCACATCCGATTCGACATCATCAATTATGACACGATCCGATTGTGATTCACTCATTTTGTGCTCGAAACATGCCGCGAACACTGGCGATCGACTGGCCAATATTGCTTTATGAACCTTAATTTCAATCTTTTCGAATAAGCAATTGATCGACCAGCTGAACTGATGTCATCGATAGGGTTCATTCTTCGTTATGGAACGTCTAAATATTAAACACGAATTGGTGTATTTCACTGACACATACGAAATGCTAATACGCACTGTCAAAATCATGTATTCACGAAGAATTTACCGTTTTCACAACGTACTCGTTACGTAGATTTGATGAGCGAAATTCTAAGTTTAGTAGAACCCTTAATAATGGATAATGGGCAGTTTTCCTATGGATGAACTGAAGAGTATCAAGTAGTGCTGTGCGGGGATCGGGGACCCAGACCCCGACTTTTTTCGAGCCGACATTTTTGAGATCCCTGACTAGAAAATTTCGTCCCCGATTTTCCCTATCCTCAACTTCTTTTCCATCTCCACACCACATTAGTATCAAGCATTTAGAAATTCTTATTTTGGTTATGATATCGGACATTCATTTTAGCAAATTTCTTCACAAATCCGTCGGACAGATTCCAAAAATATTTTTCAAAACAAGCGATATGACCTGAAATTCGACTGAAAGAAAGAACCAACGTGAAATTCTCTCGTTCCCGTAACAAGAAGACAATCCGAAAAGTTATGTTTTTCAAATAAATTTGACATGTCATCAGCTAGTCGACAAGGTGGCACACGAAACTGCATCAAGTTCGATTGTCCTGTCACGTTCACTGTTTCGGCTACTACGGATACCTGTAATTTGATTTCAAATGATCACAACGAACAACAACATTTCCGAACAAAACAAAACACTTCGTTTATCCCGGTTGAGGTGGCATTCAGAACACGACAAAAATTCTACATGAAAGAAGTAAGAGAATGACTGAACAGTGATCACTCATTGAACGCAAACTGACAACCGACATCCTATGCGTAATCAGATTACTTCACCGATCTCGATTCGTAACACCCACAAGAATTACAACTCCGCGGTAAAGAACTTATCCGAAACGAAGTAAAAATTCAGATAAAATCATGTTTCAAGAAATAAATTCAATATTTTAATTTAGAAATTATGTTGTTTTGTCGGATTCGATCGGGTGATGAATAAATGAGGTGATAAATCGTTCATTACAACAAGAATTAAATTCAACCAACTTCACAAAATATACTCAATCGATCTTCAGGTAACAGTCCATTGGCTTCATCAAGAAGGAAATCTCGTCGAATGAATTTCTTGAATCCCCAATCTTTACCTTGTACGAAACGATACGCACGCTGAGATTCTTGAAATGCAAACCAATAAATAATCGAAAACACACACGTTCTTAAAGAACTGAACAAACCACGGATGGTCAGATTAACACTGCACTGATTTGGACGTTTAGTCAGCTCATGAGCGATAATACTCAGGTTTTAGATGGCGGTCTAAATGAGAATTCCGGAGTGTTGACAGAGGATGGCTTGCTGATCAGTTCAATCAATTTTAGCGGGACATAAAAGCTGATTGCGAGTGTATCTAAACGCCAGCATTTTTGAATATTTGGGATGATTCAAGTGAGCCGCACGGAACCTCTCACAATAATCCATGGACGAATGCAGCCCATGAATGGGCGACAGAATACTGACATACACAGATCTCAGTTAGTTTCAGGTGGCTTGATGTTACAAATTCAATTCAAGGCTGCACTGAATGTTAGGTGGGGAACTGATTCCATGTTTACATTCAAAATGAATGAAATAATTGAAGAAATATTCGTTGCTGTTTCATTAATAGTATACACGAAATTGCAGCTCGGAGAGAGAATGCTGCTTCGAGCAATGTTCTGTTGCTCTTTATTCATCACTGCCTTATCACCACCTAACATTTCCTCACGACAGAATCAGAAAACGACCAGAATATTTTGAAGGAATTAAATCCTAAGTTAGAATTATTGCATTTTTCAGAAGATACAATTTTGAAAGAATATTAGCAAAAACAGTTAGTTGCGCAGTCATGACAGTTTCTTGCAGTGAAGAGGAAACAATCGCTATAAATTATCATGGAAGAATGTAAATATGGAAAAGTTAATTGCTGACATTACTACAATTGATGATAATAATAAGGATTATAGTAAGAATAACGACAACAATAGCGATAATGCTAAAAGTAATTTACATATCAAAGTAACGAACCCATTGCTTTAGTTTCTTCTCTTTTAGCGTTAAGAATTGAAAACTTGAATTTGGCTCTGACTTCATTCTTGGCGCACTGTACCAATAATAAATACAAAGATAAATAATCTTTTGATTCCTCGTCGAGACCTTCAAATTATTCATTAAACATAACATTAATGAATTGCAAATATGGAATGAATGAATGCTAACTGAGTGAATAATAACCTTTGGGATTTATCCTCAAACACCACTTCAGCTTATCACTTGAACCAGCACTAAACGTCGAACTCTTCAGCACTTCACCCATTTCCTCACGACAAAATGAAAAATTATTAATCGTCCACATATAATTGAACTTTATCACTTTCACCTGAAATTCATTAATGAACAACGATCGATCGCATTTGATGGAAATCATTCGTCAGTTACATCAATACGCTCATTGCAATATACTTTCAGCCATTTGAACACTACATCAACTCGGTCATTTAATGAAAAGTGCGGCTGATTGGGATGTGCTGATAATACTTAAGAACTGCTCCAGGCTTAGAAAAGAAAACGATTTTTAAGACCTCTCAATTTTCGTGGGGGGCAGCCAATTTTAGGGCCGATTTCACGAAGACTAGTGCACAGATTGGGAATTGGTGACGTTGTTCACAATTGGTGAACTTCACTGAGTATTTATCTTCAGTGTTTACGGTATTGAAAAGAAAAAATCGAGCAGACTAATGAAATTTTCAGAAATGAAAAAGTAAATAAACAGTTCAGTGATGAATTTAAAAAAAGAAAACGAGTATACACACCTGCGTATGGCACCAATTCTCGGCGACAGGCATATGCGCGTCGGATGGTGATGATGAAGTGGATGAAGAGCCAGACGAAGCTGACGCCGATCCAGAAGGACTTTGAGGTCGAACGCCAGAGCTGCCTCCCCCAACTCCTCCACTGACCGCTTGTCCTGGCCCCACACTCACAGATTCATCCTGTGCAGCGCCGTCAACATCCATTCTTGACTTACTGTTGTCGATATCCAACCAATAAATTTAGTTGCATACAATCTTGAAGCTGTTTAGCACTTTACTACGATTCACTTTTCAAATTTATTGCTATATGCGAAATCGGATTCAACGGCGAACGATTCAAACCAATCTACGATAACACCATCCTATCAATACAAATTTTGGTGCTTTCCTCCCTGAAAATTATCCTTTTTGAATTCGCAAACAGATTCTAAAATTTAGAAACAGTCAACGAAATTAGTTGAGCATTAAATAAGCGTTACAATGATTGAACAACTTCACGAACTGGTTAAGGAAAGGCGACGGTAAACGAACGATAAGAACTTAGAAATGAAGACGACCATTCCGATCAAATTGAACCGGATTCTGATCGGTATTCCAACTTGAATTTATCAACTTTTTCGGGATAATCAATTTAATATTACAACTTTATTGAATCAATACTCTTCTCATTATTATCATTACCATTTATCAGTATTTATTGCCGCTCTCACCAATACTATTATCATTATTAGTAGCATGGTTATTATTACTCATCAATCAACATGTTTATT